CTGTTATTATATACGAATTTATGCAAAAATAAAAAGTTGTATAAAATATTAAATAAATATGATATAAATAAAACCAAAATACGTATAAAAACTAATAAATATTAAAAAAAAATATTAAAAAAACAATAGTAAAAATATAAACAATTTTAAATATAAATATTTAATAAATATTAAAAAAATATTAAAAAAACAATAGTAAAAATACATAAATATTTATATTTATATAAACATTTTTACAATGTTTAAATCTTATATTAATAATATTTATTTTACATTTATACTATTTTTAATTTATTTCTTATTAAATTTAATTATATTTATTACTCATTTAGCATATATTTAATATCTATTTTTTAAATATTTAGATAAAGTCAATAGTAGATAAATGTAGTCAAAATTATACAATATTTTAGCTACATATAACTAACATTTAAATTAGTATTTTTTATAAATTTTTATTAAATTTATTTAATATTTTGTCTAGAATAAATATCCCTTTTTTGACTAGTGTATAGTGTAAAAAAGCAATTCTTGATGAAAGTTTTCAAGAGTAGATTTTTTAATTTTCAAATATATTTTATGAGAATTTTTATGTATCAAGTAGAATTTTTTTTGATTAGTTAAAATTTGAGTTTATGTGCTAAATTTATACTGTGATAATTTTGATTCTTTTGAAAAAGGCAATCCCAGTTGTTGATCAAATTCTGGTCCAATTTGTATAGATCTATTGGATTGGATGGTCCAGACAAGTAATAGTCAAGAGAATAGTTCAGTCCTAGCAATCGATATTTCCAGGGTATATCTATTTAATTATTGAAAAAATCTTTACTACAGCGGATCTGAATTGTGTAATCAACATCAACAAATCTTTGGCACAGAATTTTTTTCATATATATCTTGAATAAATTTTGTATATTACCTTAGTAATATATTTTTGTTTTTCATCAGGAGTTTACCCTTTTATGTATTTGTTATTAACTGAAGTTTGACATACAACAGAAATCAAGCAGATCTACATTTGAAAAAAAAGTAATGCCTAAACTTATACGGCTCATATCTCGATAGAATTTAAAGCTATCTTAATTATTTAATATTTAAAAGAAAGCTTATAATCTAAGCTTTCTTTTGAATATTATAGCATCAAGATAGCTTTAAAATTTGCCGAGATATAAGCTGTGAAAGTTAAGGCATTAATTTTTTTTCAATTGTAGATTTGCTTGATTTCTATTGATGGTTGCCCATATGTATAATTTGATAAAATATATTTTTAATAAAATTTTTCAAACCTTTTTATTATTTATTTTGATAACAAATACTCCACAGAAATTATTTAAGGCCACCAATGCCATACTATGATCTTGTATTGGAGAATTAATTTACTATTTCTACTGGAAGCCAATTAATCACATACAGGCTATAGGATGTTCAGATTTATGTAGCCACATAAATATATATAAGTAATGTACGATGTTGTTGTTATACAAACCAGGCAGAGTATCAAATTTTTTTTCATAGCAATTGTTATATCTTTATAAGCTTGGCAATTACAGTGAACAAACAAATAGAAATTGGAACTGGTGAGTTTTAAGCATTGATTGATCACAATCTCTAGAATTTCGAGCATTGGTAAAAAAATTTTAACTGATGTTCAAATATTTGATGAATTTTAAAAAATTTAGTGATATTTAAATATTTATCAATTGTACTACTATCACTACATTTTTAATATATAATTTATCAATTATATGGGCAAAAGGGATGAAATTAACAATTTTTCAAAAGATGTTTTTTTATATAAATCAACTTAAAATAAGATTAGGATCATTTTTTACTTAAGACACAAAGCAGTTGTATTAATAAAATTTTGCAATATAGCTTCTTAAAGTTCGTATTTTCTTATAATTTATTATAAGATTACAACATAAAAATTGATTTTCTGAAAATCTCTTTTTTTGTCAATTTCATTCCTTTTTGCAGCACCTAGACCATATAATTATCAAGTTAAATTTCAATAAAAAATGTATCATTATGTTATCTTTATCAAACCAAATAGTTAAATTTTAACTTTCACTAATGCTGATGATAACCGAATTAAAAACTCAGTGAATGAAAGCTTACTTTCAATGCTCGAAATTTTTGATTGATGATTGAATAATTAGTTACCAGTTCCAATCTCTACAAACAAGCATATGTTTTAGATGGTTTCGGAATTCTGCAGATTAGAATTTATTTAAGCAGATTACAAAAATAGATATTTTAATTGTAAAAAACGTACAATCAGTTGACAACAAACTAATTCATTATGAATATTTTAGCAATTAATAATCTACTAGTTCAACCTACAACTAATTGTTAGTTTTTTTTTTTTTAATATTTAAGATGAGACCTTGCTCTTATCTTTATTAAACTTAATAAAAACTTTTTACATGATTGAAAAAGGTTTTAAATTTTAAGCCTAGTGCTAAGAATAAGAACTCAGATATCTAGAGAACCTAATAATAAGTTGACCTAGATATTTATCTGCAGCCTAAATCTACTAGAGTGGCCAAAGCTCATCTCGATTTGGGATAAATTAAAGATATATAAAGAATGTGTGTGATATTTAATCCAATTAGTGTACCAAGATGATACTTTTAAAGAAGATATTTGAAGAGTAATATTAGATATATCAGAAGTAGAAAGTGTGTCACTAGAAAGTGCTGGTATTGGAGAAAAGAAATTGTATAGAGATTGAGTTGGCTGTTTAATTAGATGTAGTGAATTCACATATTGTATATATGATGTCAAGTGGAATAAGACCAAAAATAAGTTGTTGAGCTTGTAGTATTCAGTTAATAACTATGTTTTGGGTAAGATTGCATTTAGTAGAGTTAGTTTAGGAAAGGTAAACAGAAATTATGCAGAATTTAATATTATTTTTAAAGAAAAGATCTAGCATGACAGCTCTGCATGGGTGTATTAGTCAACTATAAACATGGAGCTTAAGATAGTTGTGGATTATAGTAGCTGATCCTTCTATGAAGCTATTAGAATTAGCTATGTAGAGCAAAAGAAGAGCTTCTTTTGTTTGAAATTTTAGTTTCAGTAAGGCTAGTGATAGAGATATTGTGATTGCTGCAATAATTTTGCCAGGTTTGTCTTTTAGAGTTATCATTAAAGCCTCTAATATTATGAGTTGCTATTGTAAGGTGTAGATCATAGTGATTAGCTAATGAGATGTAGTTTGGTTAGAGAGAAGGTAAGAGAGGGTTTGATGAGTTTGTGCTAAGGCTTAGTGAGATTGAAGAATTAATATTGTAATTAGATAGGTTTTTTGAAGTGTATTGTAAATTATTTAATAAATGTAAGGTAGAAACTAGTATTTGTAGAGATGCAGATAAATTAAAGAAAAGAGTATTGTTAATGAAAGTTGGTAAATAAGAGTTATTATCTGTAGTTTGTATATGGGATTTGAAAGTAACATATTTGAACCAGCAAAGTAAGTTTTAAAAAGAAGAGAAAAAGTAGTTTGAAGTGGACAAGTTTTATTAGATAGATAAATATATACTTTTTAATAGTTGTTGTCTTTGTTTTTTGTGTTAAGAATAGAAATTCTAATATAATAAGATAAATAATATAAGAGATATTTATTTGAAATGTATAGTAAAAAGGTGTAAATTGTTTGTGGGTATTCAAGTGGAGGTAGTTTATGATAAAAAAAAATTTATTGTAACATGTAAGAGGATTTATAGTTTCAAGCAGTTTTGTTACTTGAGTAATTATTTCAATTGAAGAGTGATTTGGATTTGTTACAAAGTAGTCTTCGCTATTGTAGTTATCTTCTGATATTGCTTTATTAGAGAAGTCAGAAAGCTAATTATTGTTAGTATTTGATATAATAGATGCTACAGTAAACTCTCGCAATAGTCACACCCGCTTTTGTCACAATCTCGCTATAGTTACCTTAATTTTCTGAGCAACAATATATACTATATACAAATTTTTGCTCGTATTAGTCACAATTTCACAATAGGTACATAAAATAGCTAATTTTAGCATGTAATTATTGCAAGAGTTTACTGTATCTAAGAAGGAGATGATAGTATGAAGTCTGAAGTAAATATGATAGTGTTTTTGCTATAGGCACTATATGCCTAGCTTGTATGGCTCCGCAAAGATCAAAGGTCACCTAGTTATTTATTAAAAAGCTTTTATTATTTGAACCTTTCAGGTAAATAGGCTTTACTGCTACCTACTTATATCATTTTCTATATAAACTATATTAGCTATATCTTTTAATATAGTGGTAGCTGCATTTATATTGTTGGCAAAAGACATATTTACAAAAAAAGTTTACTGAAAGCAGAAAATATAATTATATAGTTGTTAAAGAAAAGTAAGTCATCAAGTTGTAAGAGGATCTTAAGTTTAAAGTGTTTAATAATAAATTTTTCAGCTTGAGAAAAGTATTTTTGATTATATTTTTTTCTAAGTTCAGAGTTTGAGATTTTAAAAGCAAGATCATAAAAGGAAATAACTTTGACAAGAATATGTAGGTCTGAAGAGGTATTGATAAATTTTGTAAGTGCTTTACAAACTTAAAATCTTTAATTTATCATTCTTTGCTCTTTACAAGCTTAAGATCTTTAATTTTATCATTCTTTGCTGCTTGATAAAAATATTGTCTTAAGTTTGTTGATTTGTATTAATTATTATTTGGGATTATAAAGATTTTTGTTGTTATTATTGTTTTTGTATAGAAGGCAAGAGTTTAAAAGTGCTTTTGAAAAAGGTTTTCTTTAATTTTTTTAAGAAATATTTAAGTATATAAACAAGAAGTACTGCTCATTGAGAGGGAGTAATATGTTTAGTTTGTGAGAGAGATTTATATTTGATATAAATAATTTGAGGTTTGCAACTATTGTGAATAAGCTTTTCTTTGAAAATAAAGTTATTTTCAATATCTGGTATATGCTATTCTTCTTTAGACATAATACAAAATATATTGTTGACTTTACAAATCATATAGTAGTGTGTATATTGAGAATGAAAAGTAATTTTGGGGTTTGGATTTGGTTGAGAAGAAAAAGAATTTTAAGAGTAATTTTAGAAACAGGTAATTGAGAGAGTTCTTTAGAAATTCTATTAAATTTGATTTTTAAGATGGTTGAAGAGATTTCCATAAATGTAGTTTGAGCAGGTTTTTGTTGAGAAGAAGTAATCTTGAAAAATTTTGAAATAAAGTTTGCATAGTATTTTTCACAAATACAAGTTTTAAGCATAGGTTGTGTAGATAAAAGAAAAAAAGTGATAGTTTTTGCTTTACAATTTTTTGGATTAATATTAGCAGAAAGGATATAGAGAGATCCTGGTTTGTCTTCTGTTATTTTAAGACCAAAACAACCTTGGTATTTAAAATACTAGTAATCAAGATCAAAGGATATAGTGTTCTATTTGGGCCAAAAGTGCAATATTTTTAATAATTTAAATTTTCAAAATTTTGAAATTGTGAAAATTGAAAAATTCAAAAATTCAAAAATTCAAAATTTTAAAATTTCTAAATATAGTAAATTAATTGCCAAATATAAAGAATAGATTAAAAGAAATAAAACAAAACTCTTTCTGCAAATCCCTAACACAAAATTTTCTTAAAATTCGTCCAACAAAAAACGTCCATTTACACGAAATTTTACTATGTTAACCTAATTATATGCAATAATAAAAGTTGTCCGGTAATCAAAATACACATAATACTCAAATTTCAAGTTTCTAACTCTTATACTCGTGAAATAAAGTCATAAAACGTTTTTTAGACAAAAAATCAAAACATTTGCTGTTTGCTCCTTAACCTGATTCTAAACCTCTGCAATACGTTTAGTAAAGGTTGCTCTACACACTTTCCTCGTCATAACAAGCTGTATTTCACCTCTGTAGCATCGAAATTGATGAAGTTACTCTTTAAACTATTTTAACTCTCTTTTACCCACTCTTTACAACTTTCTCTGTTTTTTTTTTGTACTTTCCACTATACACGATTTTTGTGTAACATCCAATCACTTCTAAATTTATCCAAATTAACTTTATATTACGGAAATATTAATTTTCCTTTTATATTTTTCATTCTACAATCAATTTTACACAAATTTGCTAATCATTATACAAAAGCTTATTATTTATATAATAACTCTTTTTTTAGCTAACCTTACTACCTCAATACCCCAAATTTTCTGCACATGATTTTCATACAATCTGCACCCTAAAATTACAAAAAATTGAACGTTTATAACTTATATTTTCATATATTTTTTTCTATATTTATATACTATCATATATATAGTAACAATTATACCTATTAATAATACAAAATCTTTAAAATTCAACAACTTTTGATCTATCCAACCAATTTAGACGATTTAACTACCAAAATGATAGCCTCTTCAAGACGCTTCTAATGAATCCAAAATCATCTGATTCTGATCACGTGATCAAAACGCCGTCAAGATTTATTTTTCAAACTATCTATATTATTTTATTAAGTTTTTCATTTTTTTCATTTTACTTTTAGTATTTATACTCTAAACTAACTATGATTACAAAAAAATTTCCTTACCATAAGCTTTCTAGTGATATGCTTGATTGGTCTCAGGCATTTCCAATCAATCCAGAAACCCAATTTAACGCAATTTCCTACTCCTCTTGGAATTGATGTTTTAAATTTTATTAAACCTTTTCTTCAAAATTTTTACCCTGGACATGCAACTCATACTCCTACTATCCCTCAACAACCTATTTGTAATAGTTTCAATAATCTATTACAAAGCATGATTCTATAAAAGCCACAATTTCCTTTTGATATTATTTATCAAAATACCTCCAATACACCTTCTTTTAATTCCAATATTTCATCTGAGTTATTACTTTTTACTCTTAAAAATATTTTTTCCAACTTTACTACTGTTCTCTTTACAAGTCTTAACTATAAAAAAATCTTTCATTTATACTATTTTTTACCACCATACTCTATTTTTCAACGTGTTCATATTGCAATTAATCTTGCTCGTTTATACCTCTTTCTTCATAACAAATATCAAACTATCAACTACACCCAATTCTATCTTGATCTTGATCTTAAACCTATTCGACTTAGTTTACATTTTGATACTACTCACCATAATTCCAACTCTATATCACTAGAAATTAAACATGATTCTAAATATAA